TGAGGAGTACCAGAGTCAGGGACCGTCCACAGCCCATAGTCAGCAGCATGGCCAGGATGGCCAGTGCCTCCCACTACCCCACCACCCCCTCGGGCCACTCAGACTCCACACTGGCCCAGCTCTGCGGCCAGCTCTGAGCAGCCCGGTGTCCTCGTGTGCTGGACCCTCGGGGCACCCTTTCTGTGGGAGTGTGCTGGGGAGGGAAGTGTCAGCACACCTGGGCAGCCAGCTCCCTGCTCCCCTGGACCGGGAAGTCCGTCTTCTCTTGTGGCCTTGACCACAGCCTAAGTGCCTTAAACACAGAGGTCCTCTTACAGCCCGGGGGGCAGGTTCCCAGACCCCGACTCATGGCCGCAGTCACCGTGTGAGCAGGGCTGGCTCTCCAGGTCTCCGGGGAGAGGCCACTTCCCACCCCTGGCAGCTGCTGGCGGCCCTTGTCCCTGGGCCCACCCTCCACCTTGGAAGCCAGCAGCAGTGGGCCTTCCCTCTGCACCTCTGCCTCTCTGATGGCACACAGGGCCATCCAGGGCCATCTCCCCTTTCCAGAGCCTTGACGTTTGCACCAGTCCAGTCCCTGTGGCCCTGTAAGGTCACAGTCCCAGGTCCCTCCTGGGGACCAGCGCGTGGGGACCTCGGGTGTTGTTCTGCCCTACCTCCTGCTCCCCATCACCCTCCAGTGGCCTGACTCTTTCTGACAGGGTCCCTGGCATCACTGCCTGCCCACCACCCTGCAGCAGCCCCGTGGCACTCAGAATAACCCAGAACCTTCCCCCTGCCCACCCCCTGAGTGGCGGGCCCCCCTCATGTCACCACTTCTCCAACACCATGGCTACCCATGGCCAACCCTGGTGGGGGCCTGCCACCTAGAGGAAATCGCCTTCTGTCCAGTTAGCTCCTCAGGCCCTGGTCATCAGCCTGCCCCTCCTGCCCTCTTCCCCAGCAGCCTGCGGGACCATGCAAGCAGAGGTGCCCGCAGCACGATGGCAGCAGCAGACCTTGGAGACGGCCACCGGTGGCGGACCCTAGAGAGTTAAAGTCAGCCCTGCCGCTTCTTGGCCAGACTCGCTGTCCAGTGGCCGACCAGTCGGCTATTCAGAAACCCAAAGCCTTGGGCACAGTCGGGGAGAACAAAGGGGCTGTGTGCTGGTCCAGGCGAGTCCTCGGGCGAGAGTCCTCAGAGTGCTCATTATGGGCTTCCGCAGACGGAGCCTTCCTGACCGGGAGACAGGGCCCTCGCGGGGTGCTGGCGGGGCCTTCTCCACCGGGGGTTTGGAGTCTCGCTTATCTAACCTGCCCTTTCCCCATCCCAGTTTGGCCTCGGCCCTTGGCAGCAGAGAACAGCATTCCTGGCCCAGCGCCAGCGTGGGCCTTGGCAGCAGGACACAGGCTGCTCCTTTGGGGAGCAGGACCTCTGGGAGCCTGTGATGAACGGACGGACGGCAGAGACACAGGGAGCGCCGAGGCCAGCCAGGCCCCAGCACGCTTGTCATCTCTGATCTGGTGGGCAGGAAGTTCAGAGGGCTCTGGCGTGGCTTAACTACAGCAAAACACGGTTAATTACCTCTGGGGAATGTGATGGGGCCTTATTTTACCCAGGGCTAGAAGGTGTGGCACAGCCAGGTAGATGGAGAGCCAGGGAAGCCGAGGCTCCCGTTTAGTAGGACGAACAGACTGGGGGAGTTTATTTTCATTTGCCCTGTCAGGAGCGTCTCCCAGGGACCGTGGAGACCAGAAGCGTGGCCTGCAGAGGCAGCATGAGTCCGGCTGGCTGAGGGAGAGCATCTGGGGGTGCTGTGGGGCCAGCAGGGAACTCGGAAGACTTGGGGAGGGGGCAGAGTCAGGAGCCCTGCCCCCCACTCCCAGCAGAGACGCGGATGTTTGGGGCAAGGCATCTGTGTCCCGGTTAGCTTGCTCTCTACGGCCTCCTGCGCGCCCCCGACCCCATGACCCTGCAGGTTGGCTGGCACCTCGTGCACAGGGAACAGTTCCCTCCACTCTGGCACCGACACCAGGACTTTGCCAGCTCATGACACATCCTGTTCCCCAGTTCTGGCCTGGCTTGTTAAAACCCTCAGAGTCCTCTGTGAACTCCCAGGAATGAAACAGCCGGAGGGGCCCAAAGCAGCCAGGACTCATTCCAACGGATCAGCGACTCCCGCCTGGCAGAACAGGCCTGCGGAGCAGCTCCCTCCTCCCGGCTTCCACACTGTCCTTTGTTCCTTGTGCCATGTTTTCAATACTTGGCCAAAGGTGGTGCCCATGTGCCCTGCACGCATCATGGGCTGGAAACACAGCTGCCACTGCAGAGCCGCGGCTGTCACAGCAGTGCTGCCCTCAAACAAAATCACTGATGACTCCTGACACTGTGCTTTGATCTGAAGACTCACAGTCCTTTTCTTTGTTTTTTGTTTTTTTTGGTACTGGGGATTGAACCCATGAGTGCTCAACCACCGAGCCACATTCCCAGCCCTTTTTTTGTATTTTATTTAAGGAAAAGGTCTCACTGAGTTGCTTAGGGTCTCACTAAGTTGCTGAGCTGGCTTTGAACTTGAGATACTCCTGCCTCAGCCTCCTGAGCCGCAGGGACAACAGGCGCGCCCCTGTGCCCATCTCACCAATCATTTCTTAGTAAAAACGACAAAGCCTTGCCCTCAACATGGAGTCTCCCTGCTACTGGACAAATCCCCCTGGAGGACCCAGGTGACCCCCAGGAGGCTGTGGGGAAGGCAGACACGACAGCCAGTTTGTCTCAGGAGTGCAGGAGGTGGCTGGATCAGGACCCCCCAAAGCCAATGTCCCATAGACCCTGAGTAGTGACACAGAGGGGGACTACTCCTGGCCATGCCCTGCTTTCCTCTTGGCCCTGGAGTAGAACTTGGGAATGGGCCAAGGAACTGTGATTGCAGGAGCACCACTGGCTCCCTGTGAAGTCACCTCCCCACTGTCCTCCTTCCTAGACACTGAGAAGCTCAGCCCGCCGTGACTCTTTTCCTTTGCATGTCCATGAAACCAGCTTTCCTATCTGTGGGAGCACATGCGTGCGTCGCGCGCGCACACACACACACACACACAGAGAAAATCGGAGATTTGTTGAAAATGGCACTGAATCCAGAGAAAATGTGGAGATAATTGGCACCTTTTTATACTGAGTCTCCCCTCAATAATTGAGAGGTATCCTTCCTTTTATTTATGCCTCCTTATATTTCTCTCAATACTTGGCAGTTTTCAGCATAGAAGTATTGCACATCTCTTATTCAATTTGTTCTTAGGTCTTTGGTGTGTTTTGCTTCCCTTATAAATGTTGGCATTTTTTCTTTCAATTTTAGTGTGCTGGGGATGGAAGCCAGGGCCTTGTGCACGATTGGCATGTACTCTATCACTCAGCCACATCCCTACCCGCAAGGGAAACTTTCAAGAGTTTACTTTCTACTCGTTCATTGCTGGTACATAACCAAAATTTTAATGTTGATCTTGTATTCAGCAACTCAGCTAAAGTTACTAATTAATTATGGTAGATTGTGAGTCAGTTATTTGAACTTTCTGCATTATATCGTGTCTGAATAGCAACAGTTTAATTCCTCTTTGCTAAACCTTACACCCTTTATTTATTTTTCCTGCCTTATTGCTATGGCTAATTCCTCTATGATGATAATACATGTGGCAATGAGGGAGATATAGAAGGGCTTAGCCAGCCAGGACAGATGGCAAGTGAGGAGGTCAGGGCCAGGGCCACGTGGAGAGGATCTTCTAAGAAGGTCAACTTTCTGCTTGACAAAAGCACTCCTGGACCCAGGCGGGGGACCCAATCAGACAGATGCTTTTCTAGTCTGTGCTGCTAAGCAGGGGATTCAATAGAAAAACTAAAACAGACACGTGGATAGAGGGAACACCAATCAATAATAGTGAAGAATGCAAGGACAGGGGAGGAGATAAGGAAAGGAGGAAATGCCAGAGACCACAAAAAGAACAAGCCCAAACTTCCCCACCAGAGTCCCAGCTCTGAGCCCCCTTCTTTTTGGAGAAGTCTATCCCTGTCACTTTTGCAATAAACCTGCTGCTTGCTCGCTGTCTCCGTGTCCCATTCTTCAACTCTTTGCTGAACGGAGACAGCCAGTTGGGCAGCCCTAGATGGTAACAGCGAAGAGGACAGAACAGCTTTGCGTCCTGGTCTCACCCCTCCCACCACAAGCTCATGGAGGATTCGTGGGAGAGGCAGTGGCAGCATAATCCCAAACCCCCACATGAAAATAGAGAGTCCGGGTCTCTGGCAAGACAAGGACCCAGGGTTCCCCTGTGGAGATGGGTTTTCCAGGGACTGTGTGACAGGCGACAGGCCAAAGATTAAAGGCTGGAGCAGAGGTACGAACCCAACCTCTTCTGTTAATGCAGACAAACGGAGATTTGCAGGAACAAAACAAGCCACTGTCCTCACTACATATTGTGTTTTCAAAACTATAGCCACTTTTCACTTAAAAATAAGTTGTTTATGTGAAGATGTCACAGGACCTGCTGGCCCTGTGTGTCTGAGGGACACAGAAGTGGGTGGGAGTGAACCAGGGCAAAGACAGTGGAGCAAGTGAAGGAAAGTGTTTAGGTCAAAGTGAGGGAGAATCCTGGACCACGAAACCCCAAGGCAGGCACCCTCCTTGCTGAAAAACAGCACAAGGACATCCGTGAGATGAGAGGGCTCCTGTGGCCAGCCTGCTCTCAAACCACGGCCACCACTTCTCCTAGAAAGCCGCAGCAAAGCACCTCCCACGCGAGGTCACCCTAAAGGAAGCAAGACTAAAGAGCAGAGTGACGACTGCGGACCAGGGAGCACTCCAGGAGGATGTGGCCACGGGCACAGACAAAAACGGCCACCTGCCGCTTCAAAAGCCAAAATGTCTGAGAAAATTAAAAAAAAAAAAAAGAAAGGAAGAAAGAAAGAAAGGAAGAAAGACAGAAAAGGCCCAAGTAAAATCCAGAGGCGAGGTGCAGACTCAAGACGTGAGCTGGAAGGTAAGTACATCCTCTATCGGTGGAGACTGGCCTAGAGGAGGCAGAGCAGTAAACTGACCCCATTAGTGACATTGGAGAGAAACACAAGATGATGAGGAGACACCTTTAAAACTCAAAACAACCACAACAAACCCAGAAGGAGCAACGGGAGAGTGAGAGAAAGGGAGACCTCCAAGCTAGGCAGAGGCCCAACGTCCGGATAACGGGGGTCTGAGGAAGACGGCCAGGGCCAGCGGACCCCAGAACTCCAGCCCAGGAGGCCAAGACACACACGGCTGGCCACATCCACCCCCTGGGCTTCCCGTCCACATCTCGGGCTCCGGAGAAAGGAGCCGAGCCTCGGCAGACTTCCTGTGGCACCGCCCCGCAGTGGACATGGAGTGACGGACGTCAGAGGCTCTAGAAAGCACCTCGGAGCTGAAGTCTGTCCAGCCAAACGGCCACCTCGATGCGAGGAGCACAGAGGAGACGCTGTGTGCTGTGAACGTGTCCCCGCAATCCTTCTGAGGAGCCTGCTGGGGAGGGGCTGTGACCACCCGAAGGACCAAGGGGACATGGACACGGGATGGCTGGTGACCTGAAGACAGGCAGGTTGGGAAGTACCAGCATGAAAGGAGATGTGGTAAAGGGCAAGGGCTGTGCGGTGTGGCGGTGTAGACGGTATGCAAACGCACGACAGGGGACAAGGGGGACATCTGCTGAAAGCCGAGTGCCTTTGTCAGCAGTCACACTGGGTGGTGGCATTAATATGCTCTCCTGAGACTACTGTCTGTGTAACCAGAACACAGCCAGCCAGCAACGAGGGGCAGCCACCCTCTCCCCGTCGGGTCCTCAGAGGGACCTTGTTGTGGAGAATGGAGGGAGTCAAGCCAGGGTCCAGCTGGGGTCTCCACTCCCAGAGCCAGGAAACGGACGCTTCCAGGGCTGGGCAGAAAGTCGACAGGGGAGCCCGCCACGTCTTGGTGCCTTGTTAGGGTCTGTAAACAAGTCAGGATGGCGCCTGGCGTTTTGCAGAGGGAGTGGTTTGTGAAGTTAGGCCAGCGAGCCATTAGGTGTGGAGATTCCGACTGGTTGACTGCTGTATCCAGCTTATGTAAATTAGATCAGCTGTGCGCAATGTATATGTGCCCCTCCTGTCCTACATAAACGGCTCCCGCTCCTGCTGTGTCAGTCTTCACAAGCTGTCCCCAGCCGGACTGTGGCAGTGCCTCAGGAGCCCGGAGCGAGAGGACTGCCGGGGCCCTCAGCAGGGCCTGGCGTGAGTGGGGGGGTTCTCTCTGCTGCAGGATGGGGGGCTCCCAGGCCATGGTGTCGGGAACTGCGACAGACTTGAAGCCACCAGATCTGTTTAAACCCAAAGAGTCCACAACGGTATTTAAAGAGGAAAACAAGTGAACTGATCAGTCACAGCGTCAGGGTGACGGGGCAATTCTTTCTCTTGAAAAAGAGGTCAGTTGGAGTAAGAACTGGACTTCCTGTGCTGTAGGAAGGGCCCCGCTATAATCCCACAGCAAACGCGGGGGAAGACCTCTTTGTAAATCACAGATTATTCCGACTATTTGATGAAAACAAAATGGTCAATTAACCTCATACGCCCCATGGCTCCCGACATCACAGAACAAGGTGCCAGCAGATGCCTGTGTCCAACCCAGGAGCAGACACCGCTGCGAGCCTGGCGGGTGACAGCGCTGTGGTGTGCCAGCCAGCACACCTAGCCAAGCCCAGGCTGTGGGAAATTCCTCTGCTTGAACCGCGTGGGCACAGCACAGATTGCTGACAGGAGCACAAAGGTGAGAACACTTGCGCCACACCAGGCCGACAAAGAGTGAGCTTCCTGGGCAACGCCCCAGGGTGGGCACGGGACGAGCCTCCGGGAAGCACGAGCAAGAAGTGTGCTCACAGACAAAGCCCCTGGGCGCCCAGAGAAGAGGGCTTGTACTGGGGTGAGGCCGGTGGGGGTTCTAGTGGGCCACAAAGGCTGCTTCTTTGTTCTTTTCTTACCCCTGGTAAGCGGGCGTGTGCGTGTGCGTGTGTGTGTGTGTCTTGGAATCAGGGTATTTATTCTTGTTTTGCATGGCTTTCTGTATCTGTGTTCTACTTTTACAATATGGAGGTTAACAAGAGTGGGGGGTCCTGTGCTGAGCTGTGTTCTCCCAGCCTTCCTGCATTGAAGCCTGTGACCCAGCGTCTCGGCATGTGACTGCATCTGCGACGAGGCCTTTCAAGAGGTGACTAAGGTACAGTGAGGATGTTAGGGTGGGCCCAAGTGCAGTCTGACTGCTGTCCTCAAAGAAGAGAGAATTTGGGGGATGGGGTCATGGCTCAGTGGAAGAGCACTTGCTGCATGTGTGAGGCACTGGGCTCAATTCTCAGCATGATGTGAAGCAAACACATAAATAAAGTTCCATTAATAACTAATAAAAATATTTAAATAAAAAAAGAGGGAGTTTGGACAGGCCGAGAGACACCAGGGACACCTGTGTGCTAAGGGGACAGCCATGGAGGTGCAGCCGGAGGCCAAGGAGAGAGGCCTCAGGGGAGATTAACCCTGTTGGCTCCTTGACCTTGACTGCCCAGCCTCCAGGACTGTCCCGGAAATTGGTAGCACTGCTTCCTCCTCAATAACTGCCCAGCTATCCTTCAGCAGACTGAGCAAGAATACTGGGGAGGTGGAGTCTCAGCCCCAGCTGAGGGGGGACTGCAAAGTGGGGCAGAGGGCGGGGAGCAAGAGCCCAGACCCTGCCACTGGGGACAGGAGCCAGCAAGCCGGGGGCCACACTGGGGCATGCTTGTGTCTTTCAACAGACTTTTAAACTGAGCAGGAAGTACAGAGAGTTTCCACACGTCCTACCCCCAGACCCACACCCCCCACCGACATCCCACACCAGTTGGTCACGATCCAGGAACCTCACAGGTACGTCATGGTCACCCAGAGCCCTTTGCTGCTCTTTAGAACAATTTTGTTCTCCCTCCCGACTCCACGCTGGCGTAGGAAGGCGTCTCCTGGTCCAAAGTTCTGGGGCATGAAGCAGGTGAAACCACAGAGAACAAAAGGAAAGGCTGGGGTGGAGCCGAGCACCCTCCGCGAGCTGGCGCTGGCGAGAGGCAGGAGGCCAAGGGCTGGAGTGGGCACGGGCTGGGACAGCGAGGGAGGACGCCTTCCCTGGGCGGCTGGGCCTGAGGAGAGACGCTGTGGCTGAGGCGACCGACCCAGCAGCCTGAGCGAGACAGCTGGGGGCTGGGAGGAGGCCGCAGACCCCAGCCTGGCCCCACAGCCAGGGGCTCAGTGTCTCTGTGCTGGTTCCCTGAGTTTGCGGAATGAAGCCAGACATTCTGCAACCCCAGCATGTCTGGGAGAAAGAATGAGAGAGGATGACAACTGGCCAGTGCGGGTCGTCTGGGCCACAGGAAAACACCAGGGAAGCCCTCTTCCTGCAGCCGCAAAGACACCCGAGAGGCCACTTGAGCAGGTGACTCAGGTGCCACTGAAGCCTTTCCACCAGGGGGCAGCTGCAGGGTGGTGGGGTAAATGTACCTTGTCTTCTCCTCGGGCCTCGCTGGGAACAGAGCAAGCTCCTCCTGAGAACCAGCGACATCCAGGTGGGGCTAGAGGTGGGCTGGCAGCAACGTCCCTGTGTCGTCCTCTTACATTCAACCACGGTCCTGTGCCATGAAAGGTGAGCTCAGAAGAACTCTCAGAACTTGCTGCCACTTCTCTGCAAACCTAAAATCATTCTAAAAGAAAAAAAAAACCATTATCAAAAACACACAAAAAGGGCTGGGACTAGAGCTCAGTAGGTAGAGCACTAGCCCAGCACAGAGATCCTCGGCACCACATGGAAATAAATAAACAGAATCAAGGTGTTGTGACCATCTACAAAACAAACAGACAAAGTGTGCCACAGCAGGAACCGTGGGGGCTGAACCAGCGGGAGAGGGCCAGGGTGGTGTAGGGACCGCAGAGTCGACTGGGGACTCTGCGAAGAGGACATGCAGCTCTGAGGGGCAGAGGTCAGCCAGTGCCTGCCCTTTCATGCATGTGGATGACGAAGATGATGCTGGTGAAGATTAGGATCGCAGTCAGACAGCCGCCCAGGGCCCTTGGCAGTTGCCACTCGCCTGGGTCCTTGCTGCTTCCTTTTGTCTTCAGGACAAGGAGCAAACAGTGATCCCCTGGTCTCCATGGACACTAGGAGACACTGGTGACTCTGGATGGCAGTTGTCCCTGGTTTCGGACAGGTCCCCTGCTCCTCCTCCTCAGCACTCCTCCTGGGTGGCAAAAGTCTGGCAGGCACCTCCAGCTCCCAAGGTTCCAGCTGTCCAAAAGCTGGCGCAGTTGAGGGCCCACCCCACACAGTCTGTCCAGCCATGCCCTGGGCAGGGAGGAACGAGTCCTTGCTTCCCCAAGGTTGAAGAATAACACCAGAAAAGCACGCCGAGGCAAGGTCAGAGTAGAAATTAGAAGTTTATTAAAGGACGGCAGAAAAGGCTTCTCCCAGAGGAAGAAGGGGACCCAAGACGTGGAATCCTGGAAGTGTGGTTGTCTCCCCTCTTTATAGTTTTGGTGATGGAATGTAGGTGGGAAGGCCCGAGGGGTGGGACACAGGTGGGCCAAACAAGTAATCTGGGCCAGAAGGACTTCATTATCACTTCTTGGGATGGGCTATCTCCCAATCTGTTGGGGGCTGTTTCCTGGGTTCCATTAACATTTCTTTGGGGTGGACTTTGGCCTAGGGCCTTTCCATTCCCTGCTTTTCCGGAATCATTTTAGGCATGGCCTCCATTTTAGGTCTCACTGATATTAGACCCGATTTACCTAACTACACTGACTACCTAACTTTAAATCTGGCTTCAGAACTGCTGGCCGCCCTGGGCTCAAGCGGGAAATTGCTAGCATTGTTTCCTCCTCAATAAATTCTTAAAATGGTCACTAGATCTGCACCAAAGCCACCCCCACCCCCGTTTTTTTTTGGTACCGGGGATTGAACTCTGGGGCACTGGACCGCTGAGGCACACCACAGCCCTATTCTGTATTTTATTAGAGACAGGGCCTCACTGAGGTTTTGAACTCAGGATCCTCCTCTCTCAACCTCCCAAGCTGCTGGCCACCGCGCTAGGAACAAAGCCCCTCTTAAAACACACGGAACAGAAATGCAGCTCCTCAACATTTCAGCCCGGGAGGAAGGAGCTGATTCAGAAAAGCTGCTTTTCAGAGCCATCTCCCCCTCTGGCTTCCTGGGCCTGACTGGCCAGCACAGCTGCACCAAGGGACCAGTCTGTCTTCGTGTCTGGGATGGCCCCGGCAAGCCCCACAGCTGTGACAAGAGAGGCTGCGGAGGCTGTCAAAGCCTCCGCATGGGCTCAGTCCCGCTGGCCCTGGGTCCCTCCTGGTCCTGGAGAGGATGATGCAATGTTTGTGTCCTGTGTTGGCAGAGCTAAGGCCCCTTCCGTGTTGATGGGCTGACCTCTGGTGGCCGACCTGGACATTGCCGGGCGCAGACAGCTTCTGACCAACTTGTATGCCGAATTGCATCAGCCAAGGAGCCACTAAGAAAGTTGAGATCCGTTCAGCCCCTGGGGCTCCACGGTCCTGGCTTTGTGTGGGGGGTGGGGGTCAAGGGACCTCAGTAAGTCTGCCTCGGATGCTCAGCTGCTCAGCGCTGCGGAGACTGTGACTGACCGCCTGCAGGAGCTCCTGGCTGGTGGGAACTGGTGGCCAGGAACAACCCTCCCAGCGGGTTCTGCCACTGTTGCTGAGCCCCGGCCAGTCTGTGCCGACCCTTCGTGCTTCGGTCCTCTCCGTGCTCATCTTCAGCCCGTGGAAGGGTCACTTGTCTCTGGGCAAAGGCCCAAAGTGCCTGGGACTCAGGCCAAAGCGTCTGATAGGAAGAGAAAACAAACATCCCTCTCCTCTGAAAACCATCATCCCCAAGTGAAGTGTGTGACAGGGTCTCTGGAGCTTCATGGGGGCACGGGCAGGGTGCCCAAGGGTCAGAAAGGGGCAGACAGGAAGGAGCAGGGTGAGGATGCTCAGCTTACTTGGTACCCATGACCGGATTTTTATTTTCTATTTTTTGTAGTTGTAGATGGACAGAATGCCTTTATTTTATTTGTTAATTTTTTTTTTTAATGTGGTGCTGAGGATCCAACCCAGTGCCCCACCCATGCTAGGCAAGTGCTTTGCCACTGAGCCACGGCCAGCCTCCATGACCTGTGGTCGGTTTCTCTTCCCCATCTCTTTGTATGCCTCTCCACCTCTCTATTATCATGCAACGTATATTAACATGACGTTTCATGTGTGCCTCTGAGCAAAGTGGATTCTAGTACATGGTGTGACTGTTGCCACCTGCTGGCAGGCCGTAGCATCGCAATTTCCAGGTCTGGATGGTGGGGCTTGGGAGGCATCACACCAAGTCAAGGTTCATAAGGCAGGAAAACAATGATTTTAATGTCCTTTAATGTCATAATGACAACAGTTAGCCAGTGAACAGGCTGCAAGGTAACTGCGACCCTAGTGTGCTCCCACGTGAGATGGCAGGCTCTTGTCTGCTTCAGATGTGTGTCCCCTAAACCCACCCACACAGCTGTCTCTGCTGTCCTGTGGAGTGATCAGAGGTGCCACAGAGAAATGCTGGACACAGGACAGAGCAAACTGCTAATTCCAGGTGTGTTCTTAAAAAGGCCAGAATACTGAGCCCAGCAGTGCAAGATGGAGATGGTGCTGACAGTGAGTTGGATTTAAAAAATAATTTTTTTTCAGTATTGGGGATGGAATCCAGAGACACTTTATCTCTGAGTTACACTCCCAGGCCCCTTTTATTTTTATTTTAAGACAGAGGCTTGCTAAGTCACCCAGGCTGGCCTGGAACTCGTGATCCTCCTGCCCCAGCCTCCTGAATTGCTGGAATTACAGGCATGGCTGCCCAATCCACCACAGTTTCTAAAATCCCTCTAACATCACCCTTTTGAGCACTTGGTACTTTAATCCTGCTCAGCCCAGGAGCCAGCTCAGTTTCCCTGCCGGTGACCCCATAGCCAGCAACCTGTGCGGAGGGCTTCCAGCAGCAGCCTTGAAATGCCGCTGTCTGGTACAGACGACTGCAAAACTCCCCATTCCCAAGAAGAGCACTTCTCTTGCTGTTCAACCGCAGGCTCCGTTGGAGGCCATCTGGAGGGGCCAGGTGTTGCCTTCATGGAAGCTGGTTCTGAAACCTCCATCCCGGGCGTGGAGCTAACCACATCCTGCTGGTTTTGGCCCAGCTGGTGAATGATGCAATCCACAGAGGACAGGTAAATGCAGCAGAGGCCGTCCTCCACCAGAATCCCGGGTAGGCAGCTGCAGAAGGCATGGCGGGTTCATACCAGGAAACCAGATCCAAGACTTGGCAACCTGTCGTCCAGTATTTCATAGACAAACCAGAAACAGATCGCTGGCCTCTGATTTCCAAGTAACCCAAGATGTTCCCAGTAACAGCACTTCCTCTCATGGCGCTGGTCCACGTGATCCATCCTCTCTCACCCCATCCTCCTTCCTGCCTTGAGTCACTTGCCTTTGTGTCCCCAGGACAAAAACATGGCCCCATTCATTAAATGTAAATAAATCATTAAAAATGAAGAAAGTCCCCAAATGGCTCAGAAAGGCATGCAGAAAATGTGTCCCTGCTATAGTCAGAGGAAGGGAACACGTGAGATGGTCAGATATGGTCTTCATCTGTATGTGGGTCGTCCTCTCCAAGACCAAGAGCCACAAGCTTTTGATAGCAGCACTCAGGTGAGATGCAAATGAAGAATCAAGGAGTGGAGACAGAGGTGCACTGGATCAGCAAGAGCCCTTATAGCTGATGCACGAGAGGCTGGTCGGCTGCCTTCTCAGGGAGGCATGGGTTTGGTCTTGACCTTGTGGAGCTTGAGAGTGGCTCTGCACCTGTCACTCTGGCTCTAACATCCCCATTAAAGACTTTGGAGTCAGTTCTCCTCTCACTCTTTTCTTACCTCTGTCTATTTTTCCTTCCTTTTGATCCATCCTGAGAAGGGAGGGTCAGAGCAGAGCAGAGGGAAGCGCTCAGCACTGGGTCCTGGAAACACTGACGAGGTTATTCCAGGGAACTGGTGGGAAGTGACCCCAGCAAAACAGAGCACAGGTGACATCCCTGCGAGGGCCTCGTGCTCCCTCTGCTCCAGGCCCATCAAGTGTGTCGGGCGTCCCCGTCTCCCACAGGCCCCTCTGCAACAAGCGAGAGTTGACTAGTGATTTTACACAGTGTGCGCATTTCTCCACTGTCCATTATCAGGGAAACACCAATCACAATACTAACAAAACCGTCACCTGCCTGTTAAAATGCCCAAACACCAAAGGCTAGTGAGGTGGGGGGGGGGTCTTTCCATGTAAGTGGTGTGTTGACTCCTTCCCTCAATTAAGGCACTGAAGAGCAGCCCCCGGTGACCAGGACTGTGCAGAAGTCAAGATGTGGTGGAGGGGGACCTAAAAGCCAGTGCTGATCTTTCAGAAAGTAGGTAATGGACCCACTGACCAGGAAGGCCCGAGTCTGCAGTCTCCTGCGGGCATTTGGGAGCGCATCAAGCCTCCTGACACCACGCTCGCCTTCAATACCAAGTCAAAGGTTGCTTGTCGGGCTGTGACCAGGTGTCCAGCATGGCTTCTGTCTTTTTTCTGATCTCTGCACGGTTTTCTAGTTTTGGAGTTTCTCTCTTTCCTGTCTTTGCATCTGATGACTTACAAAACGTCCTCATCTTCATGTGATGTCTTGAGATCCAGTGATAACGGTAAGAAGTCAGGAGACCCTGCCCCGAGCTGAGCAGGGAGTGAAGCCACAGAGATCATGGCTGGCTGACAGTCAGAGGAAGTCACCCCAGATGTCATCAGTGGTCTGGGGGAGGGAAGACTCTCAGTGCCTTTGAGGTTCTCTCTTTGTTTCTGTTCACATTTTCTGAAATTTGAAGGTGCAAATGTATTAATGACACACTGAAAAACTCCACTTGAAAATGAAGTAGAGCTGCATTTCCAGGCTCCGGTGACTCCTATGGTGTGGGTATGAAGTGCCCCAGGGACTCAGGAGAGCTTTGTCATGTGGAGATGCTGAGGGACCGAGGGACCTTTAAGAGGCAGGCCTCATGGGAAGTCCTTAGGTCACTGGGAAGCTGCCCTCAGAAGGGATGAAGCCAGCTTTTGTGGGATTTTGAGCTCTTGGGAGAGTACATTGTTAGAAAAGGAAGCCTGACTCTGAGTTGCTCTCAGACTCCCTGTTTTAAAATGTGATCTCTTCCTCCTGTGCGCACTCTGTCCCACCATCCTTCATGGGCTCCTATCAGAGCTGGCGCCCTGATATTTAAACTTTGATCCTCTGAGCTAAACCTCTTTTCTTTATAAAGTAATTTGCCTGTTATTTCACTATGGTAATGAAAAAAATAGACAAATACAACTAGGTTATTAGGACTGTTCCTACCATTTGAAACAATTGAAAAATGTGGGATAAAGACTGAAACAGGTCTTCTTAAAGGCATGAGAAAGCTAAATAGGAAGTAAGGAATTATCAGGCCTGAACATGGGAAGTAGATATCAAGAAAGGTCACTGGGTGGGCTGGGGTTGTGGCTCAGTGGTAGAGCACTTGCCTTACTTATGTGAGGCACTGGGTTTGATCCTCAGCACCACATAAAAATAAAGATACTGCGTCCATCTACAACTAAAAAAAAAAAGAAAGAAAGAAAGAAAGAAAGAAAGACAGGAAAAAGAAGAAAGGTCACTGGGCTCTGAGACCCCTTTTGCTTATAGACACGAGCCAGTCTTAACAGCCTCCAAGGGCAAGGCAAAGCCACAGCCCAGAGAAGGGGACCCCAGAGAGACCTGCCAGGTTCTGTTGAGGTCTCAAGAGCTCTGCCGGAGTGGCAAAGGCCAGGAACCCCGGGGAGGCACTGAGCACTGTGTGCCCGGTGGAGAGGGGATCCCCAAGACACTGACCACACCGCTGCCCTTCCCGGGACTTTCAGCCAACATTAGCCCCACGGGATTATCCAAAGGCCTTACACCACCACCTGGACTGGAAGTGCCTGTGAAAGTGGTTCCTCACTGGAGGGACTGCAACCCTTCAAAGCATACTCACAGACAGTTCTCCAAGGATAATGAGCACAATTACTGAACCACAGAACGACAAAATAAAAGACAAGGTTGAAAATATCCACAGGGAATGCGGAACTATAAAAGCTTCCACCAGATTCAAGAAAGAAAGAAATACGACTTTGTCCCATTTTATCATCAGCTGTCATCAACCAGGGTTGAAATTATGTGGACAGTTAGACTGACTTGCTGAGGCTAAGACAAGAACCCAAGAACCCAGCAGACTGACCAAAAGGCAGCAAGAAGAGACATGGAGCCTGAAGGAGAGAGGCTGAAACCTGAGAGGAAGTGAGAGGGGACACTGCGCGGTCCCTGGGCGACACACAAGGAGGAGACAGGGAGTGGAGGGGACACTGCGGGGTCCCTGGGCGACACACAAGGAGGAGACAGGGAGTGGAGGGGACACTGCGCGGTCGCTGGGTGACACACAAGGAGGAGACAGGGAGCAAGGGTCCTATGAAGGGAAAATGACTGAGAAGTTCCCAGACATGACACAGCCAAGATTCACAAGAGCAGCCAATGCCAAGTGGGATAAATCAAAACAAACCAGTATCCAGATGTACTTTAGTGAAACTCAGAATAATAAAGACATAATCATGAAAGCATTAGAGGAAAAAATTACTTCCAGGAAGATCTCTGGAAAATCTGCAAATACACACTTCTAGGCAGCCCCTGGATCTAAGAAGAAAGGGAGATCAGAGAGTATTTTTTTTTTAAATTCTTTTAATCTTGAACATTTTGACCATAGGATTATAGTCTTTTTTTTT